GGGGCTGCCGCCGCGCCCCCGCCCGCGGTTTCCACGCACCGCGCGGCGCAGCCTGGCCCGCTCCAGCCCACCGACCGGCGGGAGAGGCGACCCGTCCTGCCAGCGAAGTTCAGTGTTATTCGGGTTTTTTGCCGGCTCCGACGAGGGTTTAGGGTTCAGGGCTCTGATTTCCCAGGTAAATACTGGCATCAGGCGGTCAGTTCACGCCTCGCTCTCTAGGGGCCCGATCCCGGCACAGCTCCCGGGCCTCGGGACGCGGTCGGGGGGATCAAATACAAGTGCCGCCTTGCCTCTTCCCCGCAGCGCGCACACGCGTGCCCGCGTCCTCCGCGTGGGCCCCTCCAGATGCGGGATGAAAAATCCTGCGGGGATGCGTGCGATCTGGGAAATGCCGGCAGTTGTAAGAAGTGGCAAAATCACTTCCCTTCGTTCCCACTATCACAAATGCACTTCAGGACTTCGGTTCAGGGGCGTGCTGGAGGATGTGTGAAGCCCCTGCTCTGTGCAGACAGCCCCACTTGGCCCAGGCTACAGCGTGTCATGAAGCCCCCGGCCCTCTCCTCCCTTCCCGTTAGACGTGGCACCACGCTGCATTTCGTTCACGAAGTCTAACGGAGACGAGATAAAACTAACCGATTTTGTGATATTTCTGGCCCAGGTACAACTGTCTGCTCCTGTGACGATGGGTGTCGTCTTTGCCGCCCGCAAGGGAAGCACTAAGGAGACGAATTATTATTGCCGCTGGCACATCGGCATCCTGCACTCGGTGTCCGTAGACCGATGGAAAAATTAGCATTAACAAATACATGAAAGGCAGCGGACATACAAAAAAGTACTGATCACTAATAAGAGGATAAGCTGAGTTGGCAGATGCAAATAAAACCCCGAAGTCCTTTCCTAACTCAGAAGCATTTATTTTCCTGTCTTGGAACAAAAAGTCGACTATTCATCGGACCTAAAACGTGTCGGAGAGCTTCTGTGCAGACACGGATTGGCTTTTACACCGGTATTCTGTCGCATTCAGACGCTTTCAATAACTGTCAGATGTACCTGCACAAAAGCACGTGCTGCCAGTGTGCCCATAGCCGTGCCCCCCCCGCGCAGGGCAGAGCTCGCTCGCACCCGTGCACCCACGAGCTCTTCCCTTCTGTGCCCCTGTATTTATTTTCTCTGCTGTTTCAGACCCTCGTTCCCTTGCCTGTATTTGGGTGGTTTATTTATTCAACCCTCTCTAACGGTCCAATTTGGCTATTTTTGTGGTGTGGAGAGATATCGGGCACAACCAAGGCAAACCCTCGCCCTGCTCTGTCGGGGCTATCAGCAGACACCCGCGCGCCGCAGCCAGCCTGGAATTTTAATTGAAACGGACGCTCCGCCTCGGCCCGGCAAAGGCGAGGGGCCGCCGAGATAAGCCGTCCGGTATCAAGCTTTAAGACGAGAGTTTATCTGAATATCGCCTCGCAGCTCAGCAGTTCGCTCAATTTGATCTACAGCTTCTTGTACTAAAAAGCCTGCCGCGCCCCAGCGTGGCAGCCGGCGTGAACCCCCCCCCCCCCCCCCCGCCCCCCGCCCCCCCCCCCCC